ATAATAAATTACTTCGTTATTAAATCTAAATTAAATTATAATAAAAAAATTGAATTAAATAAATTATAAAAAAATAACTTTTAAATATTGATATATTTATTTTCGAAATTTTTATAATATCTTCAAATTTATATTTTATTCAAAAGTAAAAACATTATCTGTTTCTCAAAACCACATAAAAACCATATTATAACATCTACAAAAGCGGAATAGAACGAAACATTAAGATCGGGATATATCTCGCTGTATTGCGCGGATAACCTTCTAGTATAAATTAATTAAAACAAATGTACATTCATCGTGTTAATTGATGGATATTATGTAACATTTAAAGTTGGGTTTATTTGTAAGAGATATATAAATGAGGGACTAAAGACGTCAAATGAGGAAATAAACAACTTCAAGAGCTAGCATATTATTATTATTATCGAACTTGTTTATATAGAACGTATCAACGCGATGATAATCACAAAGATAACTATCAAAAACTTAAAAGTAAAAATGAGTACAATAATATAATTATTAAGTTGTAAAAATGAGTAATATACATGTATAATTTGTAAAGTTAATACATATAGATCACTTTGAGGAGTTCCTGAAATGTAACACAACCACAACCATATTCCATAAACATAATGTGGGTTGTACAACACAATTCATGATGCTCAAGACGAGTTATACGCGATATAAACCTCAATCATACGGAGATTACCGTTGATGAAGGAGTATGAGGCACTTGCCACTCTCTGAAGCTATGCCATGGGCAATTGACTTAGGGTTGCAACGTGTAATCTTCAAATCGGATGCCAAGCATGTGGTCGATGCTATAAACTCCTTTGAAGACAAGGACCCAAAATTTGGTGATTTTATCTTTAGGTGTCGCAAGATATTTCTTCTAAACCAGTTATACTCTTCTAAGTTTATAAGGAGAGAAGCAAATAGAGTTGCTCATACTTTATCACATGAATCCCATATCTCTTCTTGTCCCCTTGTATATTTTGAGATGCCGAATGTTTTAAGTAATTCCTTGATTGATTAATGTAATGCATTTAATTTAACAAAACTATATAACTAATAGGTCATAGTGAATGATTAGATAGATATTTAAATAAAATATAGTAAAAATATTCCATTTTAAATATATTGTTAGACCTTTAAAAACAAGAATACCCTTTTAATTAAACATTAAACCATAAAAAGTTATTATGATTTGATAGCACCATTTTTTGTTCCAAACGAGAGGTTGGTTATATTTCAGATACGTTTTCAAGAGGCGATATTCATGGATCAAATATTTCAGATACGATGCTTCCTTTTCATCTTCCTCAATATCGTCGATTTCTAACGAAATCACATGCTAGGCTTCCTCTTCGTCTTGTTCGAGATTAGAGGTTCTGAAGCAAACATGTCACCCAATAAACTAAATTGGCGATTTAGATGGAAACAGGTACATCACAATGCTTTGAAAGTTTGTGGTAAGAGGTTTTCCCCTGCAGTTGGTATCATGATGTTCTATAGGAAACCATAGTTATAGATTTTTGCTTCTATCTTATTTCCGTTCAGTGTCGATTCAAGAATCATGTGTTGGTTTTTTTGATTTCCCTAAATACATGCGAACACATTTTCAGTCACTGACTCGAAGAATTACCTAGAAGGGTATAGAGGAGGAACTGTACATGAACTTGATGGTGTAGTTGATGATTAGGTATTGGTGCACAAATCAGTCCTGGCCCAGACAATAAAAGAGCCTCCATACGATATGATATGATATTTTCTATCCCTCATTAATCGAACTAAAAATATCTCAACGGAAAGGAGTATATTTACCAGCCAAGACAACTTCTGCAACCTAATCATGACTAACAATGAAAAGCTGTTGTGGCCATACATTTGAAGCCTAGCCTCCATAACACCATAACCTTCCATAGTTGCCTGAACTCAGCTGACCTGCCTAAAATCTAGGACAAACTAGAGCCTTGATTCCATTTCCACCTTTGCCATCGTGATTTTCAATCAGCGTACCACTATTCCCTGCCTAGAATCTTAGGAAAAACATGGGTCAATGATACCACAATTACTGTTGTTTTTGCCTCTTAGACTGTAACACCAAAACCTTGCCTGGATCCTACCAATGTACCACCATTGCTCGAGGTTTGATTTTCATTAACTGTGATTTGTCACCATCCTTGATAAGAAATCTACCGATAATAAGGTGTTGACCAAGAAATTGCTTGAAAGGTTGATGTTTGAACCCTTGACTTGCTTGTTAAGTGACAGAGATGGTAACAATGAATCTTACCTGAGGGTGGCCACTTAACCCCGTAGAAACACAGAGTTTTGATATCTGATTCATTTAAATCATGTTTTAGTAATTATAGACCATGCACAGAAACAAGCCTTTGGCATGCATATGCTTTGGTGAGAGTAGAAACACAGAATTTTGATCCCTGAATCATTTAAATCATGTTTTAGTAATTATAGACATGCACAAAAACAAGCCTTTGGCATGCATATGCTTTGGTGAGATCCCCCACTCCCAAAAAGGATATTGTATACTATCTATCATATGGCGTTAGGAATCTTCTAAAATAATAAGATTATTTTTCCCGCACTAAAATGCCCAGTTTAGGAATCATGAACGTAGCCCTTGACTTGACTCCCATATTCATGAGTTGCTACAGTTTTCTTTTATCTAATCTCCAGCTACTTGCACACATATTATTTAGGCCAATTCAACAAAAAACACTTGGGCTAGCTTGAACGAACAACAGAACAAGCTACTACATCAAGAGCAACACAAGAGATCTAACTCTTTGTTTTCCGCTCACCCCAACTACCTTGCAAACCTATACACAAAGAGCTGATGAAAGGGTCACCATCAAAACCATATCAATCCTTCAAACTCTTCCAATATTGTAAAACTTCTACTACAAGCAGCATTCAGACCCGACTTTTATATATGTTTAGTTATCTTAAATAACAGAACAGGGCCACAGGTGTGCGAAATGAAGATGTGGGTCTGAACATTGCATTTCCCCAATCATTTCAGTTTATTCAAGGAGTTTCCAATTTCCATCCTAATTTTTAGAATCTTAGTAAACAGTAATGAACTCCTCCAACTACCATGTTTTCAACTGTTACCTTCAGGCTTCATCAAAGCGAGCTTCAAAAAATGCATCAAGTTCAACTAGCTTCTCCGGTCAAAGAGACTTGCATAGTCTACCCTGTTGAAGAAAACATAATGGTCAGAGGTAACAATAACTACTGATATCTCACAAAAGATTGCATCATTCTGTTTTGGGTAAGCTTTCATGTTAAAGTGAACTATTTGTTCGTTCATTACAAATTTGATCATATCAAATTTTGGTCCACAAGATTACACTATTCTATCTTTGTTACAAGGTATCTTGGATATTAAGAGTAGTCAAATAATTTCTTTAAACTATGTGTTGAAGTCAAACTTTGTAATTAAGTACATAAAAAGTATAAAGGACTATCATTCTCACATGGTTTTTGTTTTATTTCAGATTTGGAGATATGATAATTAATAGGCACTAATGATGATAGGGGCTGGCATAAACCTTGTCATTAAATGTTTGTATATGCAACCTTATCACATTCCTTAGAAAGCCTCTGCAGCTCATCTCTAAGCAAGTGATTCAATTCTTAGTGCCTCTACTCTACTCTAGCCTGTAGCTCTGCACACTCAGCCTGGTGATAAAGGTAAGTACATAAGTGATGTATTAAAATCCAGATTTTATCGAAAGCTTATTTGTTCTTTCTCTAGGGTATGGGAGGGGTAGTTAAGTTGGCAGTTGGACACTATGAGGTTACATTGAACAAAGTATTTGTTACCTGCTTCCATAATCTTGATCTACTCACACCCTTCGTTCCTAGTAGAGTACCTTTTGGATATAAACATGACACGGGTTATAGTTTTTTGATCACTAACCATCTCTATTGATACTACTCTATATATTTAAATGTAGTTATCAATTTTTCTTGCACGAGGAAATTATCCTTGTTGAACTTTTGAATTTGAAAAAGTTGACCCATTTGACACTATGAACACTTTCTTCCTAGGATAAAGGTAGTAGTCCTTAAGACATTGGTAGGGGAATGGAAAAAACCTTGTGAATCTTGTCATTGTTGATACTTGATATAGGGGAAGTGTGAGAAGAATATTTCTTTTTTCACTTCAAAAATGGTATGTCTTTTTATCTTACAAGAAAATCAATGTTCTCGATACACATAGTTATTTTCATAGTTCAACCAAGTATGGAATTGTTTTCAAGAACTACGAGTGCTTGTAACTGATCTTTGATAATTTTTGTGAAAGGTCCTCCAATTTGAGAACCCAACATAATCAGTTATGTCATACACATTTAGCTTTTGTTTCAAGGTTCTATCATGTCAAGGATAAGGATATATATTGTTAATATTTGCATGAATTGGTTATGAGATCTATCTTTCTAAATTTGGGGTATATTGTAGTTTTCTTGTTCTTTCATCACCAAAACAACCTAGTTGATTAGAAACATCATCTTTACATGATAAACACATATATCAAGTGGTTTAAACATATAACTTGAAATCAAAGTTTTTGGAATAAGCATATACAATTCATATAGAGCAGAAAAAAATATATAAAAGAGAGCGTTGGTGGGCGTTGGGTTGACATAGGAAGTCACCTATAAAATGATCTACAAACATAATGAATTAGTTAACCATGGTCTATGACTCATCCTCAAGTTGGAGCAAAAATATTTATAGTGCCTAATTTGTTATGCATAAGGTTCATGTGATATCCTTCTAAGGCTTTTGTCAAATTATTGGCAAACTATTCTCTAGAGTTTCTCCAAATTGGCTCAGTAAATAGCGGTTCATGAGAAGTGCCTACTATCTTCTCATAAGAAAATATAAATTGGCCTCAATTTGTAACTTTATGCTCTTGAAAAATATGAATTATGTATCAACCTAATTGGCCTAAATTTTTCATGAAAACCATCTAAAGAATCTTTGTTAGAATTGGAGTCCGAATCAACTTGCAAGTGGTCTCGACCATAATTTGATACTTCTTTTGCATTCTTCCATCTTGTTTTTCTACGATTTAAGGTTCCTTGGAAGACACGATACCTTGAACTACTGCCACTATGAGGACACCTTTTATGAGTTGCATCTTAATTGGACAGTCTAAATAGGCACCTAATCTATCTTGAGAGAGCCTTCTTGAAGCTATCTTGAGATATCTTAGAATATGGACCACGGAAGGACCAAGTCACAGACTGACTTACGATGCTTCAGTCTTGTGATTGTGATATGCTTTAGTTTCTCTGCCATATCTCATTGCATCCTCTACGTGCTCTCCGCGGTTTGGATATAGCTCAACCTTTTGAACCATCTGGGATGTTAAGCATTCCTACCTTAGGAAGGACATAACTAAGAATGTCGATGATATGGCTCCTCTAACATAGAAAAATGTGTTTCCAAGATTTGGCTATCTGAGTGCCCAAGGTGCACTTGAAACTTTTTTGGTCTTTGGTTTTATATTTCTCGCGACCGAAGAATTCTGGAGCAGTAATTCGTTTTGTATTTCCAGTTTTTCACATATAATTATGTCGTCAACAATGAACACCAATACCTCTTGATGGAAAAACACAAATACAAATGTCACTCTAAGTTATCCCAAAGGTCTCCAAAACCTGTGAAAACCAAACTGTGGAACTTGTTATACCGGATGTAGACCTCTTCTTAGGAATTGCCTTAAGGAATGCATTCTCGATGATTATTGATTCATGCTAACCAAATCAATAATGAAATGAACAAGTATCAATTTTGTTATGGAGCTACACGTGGTATAGTTGTTGTTTGCCACCAACCGGCCATTTAGACAAGCACATATTCGTTAGGTTTTAGTAAACCATAGTACACATTCTTGCAACCAATAGTGTTTTCTTGCAGATGGGAAGACCCGACAAATTTCTAGTCCTAGTTTTTTTTGCGAGTCAAACATTATCCTAATGCTTTGTCTCTTTTATCTTGGATGAGCTAGACCTTCAGAAAGATTCTGAGGAATGTTATGGCTGTCCATGTTGAGATACGAGGTTGATAATACTCATAAAATTCCCCACGTCTAGATATCATCTGTTGATGCCTAGACCCATCATAAAAGCGTCTGCGAGTACCTATGCAAGTCATATCACTATCAACAACATCCTCCTTGGGTAAAATCATGTGTTGTGCCCTTGCGAGGATGCACCTAATGATGATGACCCTTGAGTAGTGCTTCATCACTGTGGTTTTGTAAACATCTCCTTAGAAAGTGTCATGGGCATAAAACAAACCCCATATAAAGTTCAAGACATGAAGTTTGTCTTAAGTTTTTCCTGGCATTGTCCCCCAAAACTTGGGGTCAGAACCATGTGGAATACACTTCTCAAAACTTGAGCTTATTGAAATGTGTATATGCGAAGAGAGAACGAATGTGATGGAGAAACACAAATATTCCCCTTAGAGACTTAGATAACATCACATGTACTAGTAGAACAATTCACAACTACTATAGGTGATTCAAGGGAATTTTGAAACTTTGTTACATCAATCGAGAAAAAATAAGTGTTTGTTACACTAAATAAGAACTAAACCAAACTTTGTGGCATTTTGGTGCATTTTTCCCAATTGAAAACAACCTCTGTTCACTTAGGCTCTTGAGCTTTGCGAGATTAAGGATGGACACTTTGTATGCAACCTTTTCTTTGCATTTTCCAAGGTTTTTACATGAGTCAAAAAACTTTCCAGTCATGGAGTGGCCTTATTAGTTGCGCCTGACACGACTTGTTGAAAAATAAAAAAGATAACATCAACCTAGTTTACTACTCAAAAGAAGTGTTCTCTTTTTACTCTAGAGATTCGTGCATACTACTTGCCAAATTGAAATCCGATGTAAATTCTTTTTATTTCCTTTTATCTTGAGATGTTTTTATTCCAATAATAGTTCATACAATCCAATGTACATGCCAATTTGCATACACAAAGGAAATGATCTTGTCAATTTTGTAGTTAACAAGCAGTAGAGTTGGCCTACAATAAATAATCCATAGGTGTAACCTCAATACAAAATTGATGGCTCATTTGATGCTCCGAATCTAGAGGTGGACTATCTTTTTTGGGAGGATGTAATTCAAATATAGTATGTTATGTAGATGGCCTTCGGATTTTGTAACTGTATTCTTCAATGGTCTTTAGAAGTAACCTCTTTAAAGCGTTTGCAAATATTTTGCAGTTGATTTTCTAAAACAGAAGCATTTTGAAGCCTAAATTGACTCATTATGTACTCTCAAATGTTGATCATGCATTGAATTCTTAGTTGGATCCAGTTTTTGCTCGTGGCCCAAATTAGAAGTTGAGGCCCAATAGTGATTGCCAAGGGCTTCGATTGTTTGGCCCAATATACACATGATTTAAGGGTTTTCGAGTTGGTTCCGCCCTTGTGTTATTCTGAAGTTGTGCGATTGCGATTTAGGGTGCGATTTGAGGTAGTCCTTCTTCCTCCTTTCTTCTCTAGGGTTTTGCATCATTACGCCTCTCCTTATTTAACTTTAATAAACTATCAAATCTTTTCAGAATTTTTTGTTTGTGCTTGTATGAATGCAAGGCTTTTCTTGCTTCCTACTAATTCTGCACAAATGGTAAAATCTTGTTTCATTTATTTGTTGTTTTATATCTTTACTTTAATTGTGACTCCATGTTGTATTCTTAACTACCATCCTCTTATATGTTGCATCGGCTTATAGAGATTCAAATCGTTGATAGAACACTCCAATTTATTGATTCAATTGACGATCGGGGCAAAAGAGAATAGTTGATCTACTTTCGAGAGGTAGGTCGTCTTCCCAAACCCTAAGGGCTCTAATGTCACCTCATAACTGACAGATCTTTTGAATGAGTTAGCACCTCTATGTCCTTAGGCAACCCATATTCTCCATAATAAACTACCTCAATTGCTCCTAGTTCCATGATGATTTCCATTATGAGTCAAGGTGGATGGAAGTGTTGGAATTGGTGTAGGGTCTCTTAGCCTAACTGGGATAAATGAGACACAGGGTGAATAGTAGCAAAAGGTGGTAGTCTCGATTTTCTCAGTTATCTCATAAGGTTTAAATAACGTAATCATAACCACTCATTCCTCTAACAACCCTATATGTTGTCTCTCCCCAACGAGCCAATAATAATTCCTACCTCCACCTGACAACCTTTTGCCAATGCTTCTTTCCACCGATGGTGTCACCCAAGTATTGTGGTTTTTTGGGTTTCAATGATTTTTTTGCAAAAATTCTTCCTTCGAAGCAAACTTTCATCTTAGCTAGGCTGACATTGTGGATCTCACCTCCTCAATCTTGATGCCCAATATATTTATCAGTTCTTCAACTTTTTTTTTGCCACCATTAGTCCAATAAAAGATTTTTGTTCGGTTCCAATGATACAAATTTAGTAGAACTCAAAGCCTTATTGACTTCGACCGACGATCAAAACGGAAGAGAACAAACCGACCCCTACTACCTCTTGTTTTCTCCAAACCCTAGAAAAGCTAAAAAATACTCTTAAATGTTTTTTGCATAAGAAACTTAATTTGGTTAATCTCTATATTAATAAAGATTAACTCCCCTCCTCCCCTAAAAACTGAAGCAAAAAAGCACCATATTATCAAACTCCAGGGTTGTTCCTATAATAAACCTGAAGTAATTCCCAAAATTGGTATTTTCCAGAGACAGTATTGGGGAAGAAGCGTTGGTGCTTAAAGAAGGTGACGTCCATGGAGAATAGAAGCTTGGTGACGGAGAATAACAAGTACAGGACATTTGAGGGATTTGGGATCGAGTTTGTTTCAGTGTTGGGTATCGATATGGATGAGTGGTATGCAACCAAAGATTTTCAGAGATAGATCCGAGGAGAAGGCCTTGACATGAGGAAATGTCTGAATAAGGGATTCCTTAAGTGTTTTAAACTGTTAGACTCTACTAGGCATACGATTCATGGCATACATAGCTGTAAGTAATGCTATCCACCAAAACTGTTTAGGTACATGAGATGAAAACAAAATGGATCTAGAATCCTGAAGTAGATGTCTACTTATTCTTTTTGCTACCCCTGTTTGTTGAGGGGTATCTACACCAGAACTAACATGAATGATTCCTTGATCAAAGAGATGAGGCTTGAGAATGGAGTTAAAATATTCTTTCCATTGTCTGTTTTCAGGACTTGAATTTTCCTTTGGAATTGATTTTGAAGTATCGGGTGGAATATTTTTAATGTACTCGCAGTTTCAGATATTTCTTTCATGAGGAAGGTGAAGGTGGTTCTAGTGGTGATGTCTATTTAGGGTACAAACCACCTTGCGTCACTATTATTTTTCACTCTTAATGGTCTCCAAATATCACTGTGTATTATGACCAAAGGTTAGGAAGGAGTACAGGGGAAGACTGGTGTAAGCTCTATTTAGTATGCTTTGCAAGTTGACACACTTCAGAATAATAAAAACTTGACCTTTTTTTGATAAAAGGACGAGGGACCAGTTTTTCAAGGTAGACAAAGTTTGGATGTCCAAGACGGAAGTGTCATAACATGACAGGACTTCCATTGGGGCACAATGGCAATTTCACTAGGATTTTGAGATGAGAACACAGCCTGAAGTTTGAACTCCATTGTTCTTAGCACCTTCTTTGAGAAAGTCTACCACCACATGCTTCAGAACTGCAAATCACTTTTCCTGAATCCATCATCTGAAATTCACAAAGATTAGGAAATAATTGTCTCACAATTCAAATCCCCAGCAAGCTTGCTTTGATAGAATTTCTGAATGTACTATCTGAAACTGCATTAGTGCATATTTCTCCTAGGGTACACCTGAACATTAGTAACACAATGAAGGGGTCAAGTGAGCAACTAAAGTAACCTAATTCTGGATCTTTGGATACCAAAGATTAAAGAGATGGGAACTAAGCCACATGGTAGAAACATACTATTTCACAAGATTAACACTCATCCACACTTTTGCAACCTAAGTGCCAATAAAATTTAGTAGTGGTTTGCCTTAGCATTAAGTTTAGTTAAAGATAGAAGCAATAGGTACATAGCTGACACCATTAAAAAATTTAGGATCAATATGATGAAGGCTGATTGTGTATATTGTAGACCGTCTCTTGTTTTTTATGTAATGTAGTAGGAGAAAAGAACTAGCTTATTCATTGCCCATTCGTCATCATTTGTCGCTTGAGAACTTTTGAGTTAATAAGAAGTATTTACGCACAATCTACTTGCAATCTTGAGTTTTAAGTAATATGCATTAATAAATAGTACTTTATGCATAAAAAGTGGTTTTTAAGAGTTTTTGTCAAATGCTTTATAATATAGTGTGTGTGTATATATATATGACTTAAGTTTCAGGAGGTAAGAAAGAACCTTCTTATCGGATGCTTGCAGATAGCAATTCTGCACACCTTTACCTTTTTGTCTCCGTTTGAGTGCATGTTATAAATTGTAATTTTATTTACCTGTGGCCAATGCAAAGAACAATAATTTGGGACCAATCTTCTGACATCAGTGACTGAGAATCCTGTAATTTCTTTGCTTTTACTGATACTAGTGTGGAGTTAGATCTGTGAATCCCTCTGCTGAAACTTGATCTGTGACAATGCAGCCTAATTCTTCTGCTGCCTCAAAAATAGTGGTGCTGCCAACAATGATGAGAAACGAGGAAATGACAAATGAAAATTTAGTTCAGGTATGGATGAACTTGGCTCTTTTTGATCGTTTCTAATGGTACCTCTATGGCAAAATGCATTTTATTGGTTCCTTTCATTACACGATTTCCCTCCGTTCAATCTTCTCCAATTTGAGGGTCGTAGTGTAATAGATTTGGATTAAACTCCTGTTGCTTATACTTAATGCAACACTTGTAAATTAGGTTTGGGTTTTGTTCATTTAACTTTTTCAAACGCTTGTACAAGTTGCATATGTCTTTTTTCAACTACTTATTTGTGGTTGCATTAGTTGATTGTATTCAATACACTTGTACTCGTGCATTAGATTTTTATGTAAAAATGCCAAAATTGTAATAGGACTAGTTTTCTTAATTGTTTATGTAATTCTTTTTAGGATAAGCAAGAAAAGTACACTTTGTGACCATAATATCCATATCAGTGGAAAAAAACATATTTGGTAGATTACATGTAGGCTCTATATTATCATTAATTCTAAAAAAAAGGAACCTCTGTGCCACATTGCTTTTCAATTCACCTCTGTAACAGTGCAATGGTTATAATTTCTTCATTAATTGGAGCACAAAATACTAAATCTTGGAAGTTCAGTTCACTAAACCGGTTTTAGCCCCCAAAATTCAATCATCAAAAGTTAATTTATGTCATGCCCCATTATCATAGGAAGAAAAGAAAAATACATAGCATGCTGCTTAGTTTTAGGATAGGTTATTCTGCTATTTGAACATTTATATCAGTAAGCTCTGGGTTTATCTTTATCATGTTTTGCAACTTGTACAGAATATCATAGAGGTCCCGACTTCTGAGTTTGAGTCCCATTGTGTATTGCCTAGGGGTGTGGGTGACAAATGTTTCACCCTTGGGGTATGGTTTTGTGGGTCTTCTATAAAATCTTTGAACATGTATAATATAAAATCATTATGGTATTTATGTTGATATTTCTCCATTGTTTTAGATATCGAATTGAGATTAACCAAAAAAACCAAGAAAAAAAGTCATGCATGCTTGTATGGTTAAAGATTTCATATATTAACCTTTTCAAGGTGGTACTCATTGGGCATTCCTTTTATTTCCTAAATCTCTTATCATATTCTAGGATTGTGAAGTAGTTGCAGCTTCAGTTCTTATAATTTTCAGACATATCTCACTGAAGAAAAAATAACTAATGCAATTATCATTTCTCCATAGATTGCGCGAGTACTGAGGAGAGACATGACTCACATGAGGAGGCAATCTAATAGAGCATCAGCTAGAAGGTCAAGATTGTGTCGGCAGGTAACACTTACCTTGTTTAATATAACCTCATAGTATCCAAATGCCAAGTTAAATACCCCTCCCCTATCCTAGAGAGAACAAATACGCTTTTGATAAAAGTTGGATTTTGGTAGTTTCACTTATGTACTTACCTTTATCACCAGGCTGAGTGTGCCGGATGTGCAGAGGTACACACTAGATTACAAGCGTTACGAATGGAGAATCAGTTTCTTAGAGAATCTCTGAGGTGGCTGTACGATGAATGGGACAAGATTTCCTATGCCAACATGTTAATGAAGGTTTGTGCCTATAATATCTTCATGTATGAGAATTAATGGAAACTATATGAGAATCAATGTCAATGATGGTCCTTTCTATTATTTATGTAGTTAATTGCAATTTTTGACTTGACATATGATTTAAGGAAATTGTTTCACTACTTTTAAATGTCTGTAACATCCCAACCTAATCGTACCAGATATTGTCTACACCTGGACTTACTGTTTTAAAATGCGTCTGATATAGAAGGTGTCCAGTTTCTTATTAGGCAACCTTTGTTCCCTTCCCTAACTAATGTGGGATCTTACTATCCACCCTCGATGGGAGCCCAACGAGGACGCTGACACCAGTCTGGTTCCCGACTCTGATACCATCTTTAACATCCTAGGCTAACTATACCAGATATTGTCTGCTTTGTCTACATCCAGACTCACTGTTTTAAAACGCATCTGATAGAGGTGTCCAATTCTTTATAAGGCAACCTCTGTTCTCCTCCCTAACCAATGTGGGATCTTACAGTCCACCCTCCATGGGAGCCCAACGAGGACACTAGCACACCAGGTTCCCGACTCTCGACTCTGATACCATCTTTAACATTCTAGGCTAACTGTACCAGATATTATCCGCTTTGTCCACACCAAGACTCACTGTTTTAAAACGCGTCTGATAGAGGAGGTGTCCAGTTCCTTATTAGGCAACCTTTATTCCCCTCCTAAACCGATATGGGATCTTACAATATCCAAGGTGCATTTTAACAAAGATAAAATAGAGTAATCTTGTGCCAAAATTATATATCAATTTATTTGTAATGATGATAAACGAACAAATAGTTTATTCAACATGAAAACTTTCCAAAATTAGAATTTTGCAATCTTTTTGACAATTTATGTTTTCTTCAATAGGGTGAGTTAAGCAAGCTTGCTGGACCGGAGAAGCTCCCTGAACTTGATGTATTTCTTCGATCTCCATTCACAGAAGGCTGAAGGTGGCAGTTATGGTTGTTGTTGGAGTTCGTTACTAAGATGCTAAAATTAGGACGGAAACTCCTTGAATAAAACCCAAATGATTGTGGAAACTCAAATGCACACCTTCATTTTGCACCTTTTATTTTGTTCATCACATCTAGACATAAAAGTCTGGTCTGAATGATGGTTGTGGTTGAAGTTTATATTATCGGGCGAAATTTGAACGATGCTATGTGTTGCCTGTTGATGCTTTGAATCTTAAATTGCCTTATTGGTTCTGTATTGCTCTTAGGGGTCATTTACTTCTACAATTACTCGATAAACGCTTACCATTAAAAGTCACTACTTACATCGTGTGGTAACATTCCTTGCTATCCAAATAGATAATGGTAAGCGCTTACCGGGTAAAACTATGCTCCTTATCTTTCCTCTTTCCGGGTAAGATTTTTTGTTCTTGATATATTCACCTTGTAAGGTGATTGAACCGGTAAATACTTATCAAGGTATTAGTAAACAAACAGCTTGTTCATTCAAGCTTGTTTTTTTGTTGAATTGGCCTTTATTATATGCCTGCAAGTAGCTGGAGATTAGGGTAAACTGTAGGCGGTATGATGCATGACAAGAATATGAGTTTATGGTTTGTTTGGAATACCTGAAGGTCAACAACGTTGATTTGGGCAAAAATATACATTTTTTCACGTGAAAACGATGTTTTGAACAATACGCAAGGCTATGCTTTATGCCGACATGATTTTAGCCAAATTCTATGTTTTTGGGTTCAAATCAACATTTTACGGGATATATTTCTTAAATTTATTATAGCATTTTACGTTTGTTTTGATTTGCAATAAATCTCACATATCAGATTTATTTCTCGTATTTATTTATTCTGTATTTAATGATTTATTATAGCATTCTACGTTTGTTTTGATTTGCAATGAATCTCACACATCAGATTTATTTCTCGTATTTATTTATTCTGTATTTAATGGATTTATAAATCCATGTTTTTCCTAAGGGGAAGTCTAATTATACCTCTATCTCTTGTTAATTGCACCCCTAATTCCTTAGGGGGAGTTTGGTTCGTAGAATGGAATTCGATGGAATTGGAATTCATCAAAGGAATTTGACTTTGAGGGAATGGAATGAAATCTGATGGAATTTGACCTTGTCCTGTGATTGCGTTTGGTTGCATGGAATTGGAATGAAATTCTTAATGGAATTGGAATTTTTTTGTTTGGTTCATGGAATTCAACTTTGGAATCGACAAATGACTTTTTATGATTTTTTTTTATCATTTTTAAAAAAATTTAAAATTTACTATTAAACCAAATTACATTATGAACATCAGATATAATTTGAAATTGTTCACTTATATTAATAATATCTGAAATTGTTCACTAAATTTTGTTTAAAGAAGTGATCGGTGCCCTAATTCCATTCAATTTGGGATCGAACCAGAGATCGATTGAAGATCGAACCAGATTGACGATCGAATTTTGTTTACGAGAGAGAGAGAGAGAGAACGTACCTGGAGGTCGAACCAGAAATGCAGTAGATGAGATGGTAGAGGCGTTCAATGAATTTGGATTAGAGGATTAGAGGATGAATCTGTAGGAAAGGAATTGAAATCCTAGCATGTTGCCGTGGAATGGTGAAATCTGTGCGTGAAGGAATTGACCGGAATTGAAAGGATTCTATGGTCTTATTCCATTGAACCAAACACTCCATTTGGAATTTGGTCAAAGGATTGGATATTCCAATTCCTTTCAATTCTTATGATCCAAACAGCCCCTTAGGAAATCGTTGTTTCTTTTTTGTCTTCTTTATTTTTTTTTTTTTTTTGCTTTTCTTCTTGTCTTTTCGTCTTTATTTGTTTTTTGCTTTTTTTAATTTGTATTAAATTTTAGTTTATATGAATTATAAATAATATAAAAATTGATCTTATTCTAGTATAAATTTTATATGTTTCCTAACTATCGTTTAATTATAGAATGGTAAAAATAACAGTGGACTAGGTTGAGGGACAATTTGGTAGTTGCTTGATGGTTTTATACATGATGATCATGTGGTCAAAATAATTAAGAAGTTCTTATGATATAATGCAAAATAAATATAATTGTTTACAATAAAATTAAGGCGTTGAATGGTCAAGGGAGACTCATTATACAAAATCATTTAGAGTGTTTTAGAATCATTAAGAGATATTTTTTTTGCCAAACAAGATTCACCTACCTTTTAATGATTCAAAGACTGCCTCTTAATGAAACTATTAAGAAGTAAACAAACAACCCTGAGGTTTTTTTTCCAATTTTTTTACCTTTTTACTTTTATTTGATTGTAAATAAATTCTTATTATAATAAAGATTATCATTTCCTAATAATTATATAATCATAAAAAACATACACGCTGAAATTTGACATATATTTTAATGGTTATAAAATTAAACATATAATATAAAACAAATTATTTACATAAATATTAGAAGTGTACTTGTTTAATATAACCTGATATATCTTGATTGTTTTATTATTTGTCTATGTCGATTTTATAATACAATTTTGTTTGGTTCAAAAAAATTGTACTCTTGCATCATTTGCTAGTAATCTTGAATTTTAAGCAAAATGTATCAACAAACAGTACTTAATGTATAAAAAAAATATTTTTAAAATTTTGTTTAAAATATTTTATAATATAATATGGATATAAATAAAACATGAAAAATGTCATAGTGACTTAATATTTTAAATAAATAGCACTATCATACTTATTAATGCCAACTATAAAATAATTAACTAAAATGAGTGTTTTAAATTGGATCTTATAAATTACTTAATTCCCATTTGATTAAGATTTAAGTCTCCTTCTCTCCATATATAT